TATACCTGTCAATTCCCCAGACACTCTCTTTCTTTGTAACACTCCCTCAGCAAATTGAGTTTTTTCCTACGTTAAACAACAACAGTACCAATGTCACAGTGGGGATTGAAGGGCACCTGCTTGAACTGTGTGTTGTGCTGTGTCCAGAAGTGATGCTTCAGGGCCCACATCTGAAACTTTAACTTCTGCAGCTCCTTCTCCTACAACCAACAAAACAACAGCTTGAAATTGATTTTTGTGCGTGATATACATAGCTAACCGACATACTCACATCTGCACTGCTCGGTTCTCTAAGCCTCAAAGGTCTAATGTTAGACACAGGGTCGGGTGGGCCAACCGTGTCAATATGGCCGCTGTAGTTGTCGTCATTAGCCTCACTACCACTGCCTCGAGAGCTTCTACTGTTGTGTAGAGTGGCCACATTGGTAGGTTCTGCCCATTTACATAGAAACTGCGGTAGAAACATTCGTCTTTCCCATGTTCGAGAGAGCTGCTGGACGATCATTTTTGGACCACACCCACAAGTCCGACACGCGGTTGCACGCATGCGTAGCATGCGCAGTGAGAATCAGCATGAGCGTTCGCGGTGTTTGGGTCATACGGCCACCTGGAGGGTCTGTACGAGGGCAGAGCAAGCAAGGAACCGTCCTCTTTTCCAAGTGAGTCTCTCCGTAGCTACTGTTTGGACGAATGTCGACATTAGTAAGTAGGTGGAGCTGGTGTTCTAAATAGTGCACACTTCAACTTTTCTTCATCTTCTCAGGCGGTATCCGACTGTAGAGCGACGATGCAAGCTACTGGCGCCGTCTCTCTACCATTCCATACCTGGAGATTCGCAGCTGTGTGAAGCGGTGCTTACCAAATGCTCGGAGACTTCTGAAGAAGTAGAGTTGATGTAGCTACTGTATAGTGATAATGTCTACACGGTGATACCAGCAGTTTCTGAGTGAGAAGGATTGCTGCTCGGCATCCTACACAAAGCCAGTCTATGAACTCATCTCTGGCAAGCTCTGGCCCGTCGTCTGCATTGAACAGGTCCTCTGTCCATCAGCAGATTTCAAGTCCGAGTGTTACATCATGACTCTCCCTCCCTCTCTACCACAGAATGGTGTGTTCTTTGTGGCAGTTCCCCTGGTGGAGACCAGAGGTGACCGCAGACCTCCTCTCATGGAAATGTAAGTCAAAACACCAACAGTCAGATTATTAAGATTCAAAAAGGACTCAAGAATAAGGGACACATCCCTGTAATGCATTAGTGTGTTATAATATTACCTGCGGGTAAGGGGACACCTGAATAAAGGACACTTTCAATCCATCCAAGGTGTCCCTTATTCTGAGAGAGACAGCTTTCAGGCAGTTGTCCCTAAACTCAACTCTTCTACAAGGATTTTCTAGAGGGATGCTGGTTCATTAGCTCTGTGAATTTTGCATGCTGCAGACCAGGCATCCCTGCTGCTGTGGCTCTGCTAGAAGGCATTGCTGAAGTGGTTGGACCAAACGTCAAGGATCTGAACGAAGTCTGTCTATAGTCTGTGTGTTTCCGGTCATTTTCAGCATCGCACATAGACTTCTGGAAGGTTCATGGACGTTCACCAGTACCTGTGTCTCGCCGCTCCACTCGGCTCCCCAATTGAGACCGCCCCTGCTATTATCAAACATTACCAGCAGTCACGAAAGCAGGGAGCTCCCTCTCCTGCCCAGAAGGTATGATAGACACTCCCGCACCAGTCATAGCATTATTCCATGCCAGTACTGACAAACATCAGCCGTTTCCCAATTTTTCACGGATAATCCTTGATCCACAAAAATATTACGTTTTGTTTCCAAGTACAAACCATGATCCACAAACATGAAGATGTATATATATGTAGGCGTGCTAGTTATTGCTTACCTCCAAAAGATTAAACCTCTTGAAAAATAATGTGTGTGCAGTGAAGTAGTGCTAGCCTGCGAAGTATTGAAAAGTCCTACCCTTCATGTGGTGTATTATAGCAACCGGCATGGAGGCCAGCGTGTACCGAGGGAGCTCCAAACTCCACGTGGTTGTGAGGGAGGAGATCCGGGCCGTCCAGTACGACAAGAAGGAGGTGGCAGACGTTTGAGACTTTCGGGTCTGTTGTGTGCAAGGTAAACCACAAAGACTTCCTTGTTATTCACCAGAACACTGTAAAAAAGTTGATGTTTTTCGGCAGCATAATACGTGTCTTCAGTAAACAGAAAAAAGGACAGTTTGGTACAACGAAATTATCTTTGTGCATTCTTCGTGTCAACGACGAGGTGGCAAGGCAAAGGCAAAGCAACTGCACCCTGTTGTTGTGATTGCACATGTTAAAAGAATTTCCACTTTTCAGTTCTATACAGAGTAACCTAGTATGCAACTGTGATACGTGTAATGTGTTAATCTCACTTGTAGGCGGAGTTGGAGGGTCACCCGGATGTCCTCCTGACCCTGGTCTCTCCTCCCTCCTCCCCTCCCCTGGATCACCTCCTCACACACCCCTGTGTCCAGTCGGCCGACGTGACCCCCCTCTCTCCCCGCAGCGGGCCCCCCGACCAACTCCGGAACAGGAAGATACGGTTCTCGGCTCCAAACGAGACATTCACTCTCTGCAGCTACCAGGTCTCCAACCTTCCCGTGCTGCCACTACGAGGCTTCTACCAGATGAAGGTGCCCGGGGTACTAGAGCAGGGAGCTTCTGGGGGAGAACTTATTAGTGTTTTCGTGGATTGTTTGTACCCCGAAACTGTACAAGCAGTTTCCACCAACTGAAATTTCATGACCCTATATATATATACATGACCCTACAAACTGAGACACATTTACACTATTATCTATATAGCAATGCATTACTGGCGAGCAACGTGAGTGCGACATTTCAGCTTTTGTATACGGATAGTTACATTAAGCATTTCAGTATGGGTGGCAGTGAGAAATATATTTTAGATCATACAGCTCTCTCTTGCGAAATTATCTGAGGTATTGCGGTCTTACTACTGTACCTATGTGTACAAGCACGTGTGTTTATCGTGTCATGTAGGGAGAAAGTAAAGTCCAGCTACTGGTGCAGCTAAAACTGAGTGAGAACGTCAAAAATAACTTTGAGCTCTGCGAGGTCCATCTTCCCTTCTTTCACAGGTAATTGTGCTGCAATTGGTGAGCAAAGCCATGCCATGTGAATGCAAACGATGGCACTGTACTACGTACTGTCCTACACAACACACAAACGATGTTCATGCAGCACAGCAACAGCAGAAGGCACCAGTTTGTAAGGAGAGGAATCTACCTACTGTGCTATATAATACCAAAACAAAAATTAGACCAAGCACAGAATAATACTATTACGATTATGTAGCTGATTCTGCTGTGTTATTACAGAGGGCCAATTCAGAAGATAGAGAACGTGTCACCGGTCACGGCGTCTGCTGCCCTCTCCACACTCCCTGATAAGAGGACATTGTCTGGAACATTGGTTAGTTCACTGCAATTCCATTTGATGCACACTTTCCCTTCAGCCTCCATCCCCTCATTCACTAAGAATGAAGTTTTAATTGTGAGAAATCGTACATTGGAACCCAAATTTTAAACTGTGTCCACAATCCATATGGTACAGCCATTTGATCCACGTACATACATTATACATAACACCAAAAATGACATTAGCCAGAAGGAATATTTCTCCTCTGATAATGTTGCAGGCCAGAGGTTCCCCAGTAAGACTCTGGAGCTGTCCCTGCAGGCCACTGTCCGATTCCCTGACCACTACACCCCAACCAGTGGAGTGGACACTGATGACCCGTTCTGCATCGGCCTCAACACCTATGCTGACGTCAGTCATGCTTTTTTCTCTCAATGTCATAATTATGTAGCACCGTGCTGAGTTTGTCCGTTTTGTGTGTGTACAGATTTTCTTCAAGATACAAGACTTCACACTGAGTGGCTGCAGTGTCGACTCTCGCTCTATCACTCTCTTTCCCCCCAGCAAATACAAGTTTACCCACGGTACGCCGAAAAATCCTGCGTGTGAATCGGTGTTTAATATACACTCTGTGTACAGGGAAGGAACTGGTCTCTACGAATTATCGCATTTGGAACTCTCATGGAGATGCCATCTTTGTAGCTTCACAGGCCAGAACAGTGACTTGATTTGGACATTGTGTGTATGTGTGTGTGTGTGTGTGCGTGCGTGGTGTGCCTGTTTTATGCGCATGCGCTGATTGATGTCCGCTTGCACCTTTGACCTGTGAAAGAAAGAACATGGTTCATGTTTCTTGAGATTTTCGTCGTGACTACGTCTCTGTTGCTGGGCTGCTTCCTCTTGGTCTTGACGACGGTCACTCAACTGCAGGTCCATGCAGCGAGTGGAGGCGGAAGACCGATTTTGACCGCCTTTCCGGGAGCGCTAGCCTCTTGCTTCAGCAAGAAAAGAAGTAGAGCCGCTGGGGTTGTGCGTGCCGCTAACGACCCTGCCAGAGATGGACGCTGTCCGGGGAAGAAGGCTAGACGAACGGAAAGGAGGAGGCAGATCAAACGCGCTCTGGTAAACAAGCAACAACATCCTATATTGTAGCTAAATCCTCAAGAGAACAAGAATGAGCATGCCTGGGCTGCTAACAGTAAAGTTACTTGGGGCTTTGGTCTGTTCAGGCGCATCTAGCTAGCCCAAGTCAGCTGTCCTCGTTTCCAGTATGTGTGTGCTCAGCAGTGCACGAAACACGATTCCCCGGGGAGATTGCGAGGCCCCCTGGGAGCCTGGAGCTGAACAACATAAAAACCACCACTCTCAACTTCCTTGCCTTTCACTGCACTGTTAGATAGCACGAGAGCTAGTACTAGTAGAGACCTAATGGAAGTGTTGCTGTGTGGTGTACAGGGAACCAGGAGCCACGCACTCCGCGAGGAGCTCAGGAGAAGACAGATAGCAGAGGAGAGCAGACTCTTGACTGCCAAACTTAGCTCACTGGCCAACCCCATCTGCAGTGGGTAAGAGCAAGTGATACTGACTACTTCAGCACAGCATCCTGGCTGTATTGTATTGTTACATACCTGTAAATTTTATGGTGCAGTGTGTAAATGCCTGTTTCCATTATGCATAATGGTTCTCTTCCCCTTCAGATGTAGGACTGTCTATTCCAAGAAAAACTGCAGGTATAAAAGCAGTACTCAACTACAGTTGTGTCACATAATCACTAGGACCCTTTTAGCCGTTGGTATGCATTAGCCTGCCCCTCTTTCCTATCTCGCTGTGTATGTATATATACCTTGTGCTCTTTTGTAAATGGTGCAGCCTACGGCTGAGCTTTGGCTAGTGCCCCGTTCCTTTACTTAAGCCCGATAAATAGCTGGCGTGTATCTGCAGCTACAACTGCTGTGCTCGATGCTGTCGCTCTCAGACCAAGTCGGTGTGTCTGGCTCACGGGACTGGCTACATGGCTGCTGTGGAGAGTGTGGAGGGAGCTGTTCAGTACAAGTACACCGAATTTGACCTCAGGTATATTATAGAGGTGCTCTACATACAGTTTCATTAAACAAGAGCCATAGCAGATATGAGCAGTGAACGTTATGTATCACTTGAGTTCAGCTGAAATATTTTGGTTGATGCAGTCAATTGCATTTCCCTTTTCAGTTACGGACACTTGAAAGACTGTCCTCCAAGAGTCACTTCCATTGGAAAGCAACTGGTTTGTTCATGTACAACTCTATGATGTCATGTCTATTGATGTGAGTGTAATAATGTGTGTGCAGGTTTCGCTGAATTTGTCCAACAATCGTCTGTCGAGTGTCCCGGAGGACCTGGGAGCTCTGTCCAGTCTCAGAGAGCTCTTTCTCCAGTACAACACCCTCACCCACCTGCCAGTAGGTCCTCGCTGTTATAGCCCATTCAGTTGGCATCCTACCAGCTTAGAGCTGAATATGGGAGTACACTTGTGCATTGCTAAACAGATTAGGCAAATCACATTTAGACCTCCACAGTTACTCCTGAATGTAATTCGTATTGATCACACTGCACTCTCCAACTATAGCCAAGGTATCAGGAAGACTGGTTGGCCTGTCCCTCCCTCTACGTTCTTGATAAAAGTACGACAAATTTAGGCCACCCTATTTTCACAGTCAGTCCTAAGGGCAATTCATATGGATCACACTGCAACTCTCCAGATATAGCAAGGGAGTTAGGATTGTTGGTTGGCCTGTTCTTTCCTCTCTGTTCTTGCTTTTAAAAAATACGACAATTAGGCCACCTATTTTCACAGTCAGTCCTAAGGGCAATTCATATGGATCACACTGCCAACTCGCAGATATAGCCAGGTAGTTAGGATGGTTGGTGGCCTGTCCTTCCCTCTACGTTCTTGATAAAAGTACGACAAATTTAGGCCACCCTATTTTCACAGTCAGTCCTAAGGGCAATTCATATGGATCACACTGCACTCTCCAGCTATAGCCAGGGTAGTTAGATGTGGGTTGGCCTGTTCTTTCCTCTATGTTCTTGCTAAAAGTACGACAAATTTAGGCCACCCTTTTTTCACAGTCAGTCCTAAGGGCAATTCATATGGATTGCACTGCACTCTCCAGCTATAGCCAGGGTAGTTAGGATTGTTGGTTGGCCTGTTCTTTCCTCTATGTTCTTGCTAAAAGTACGACAAATTTAAGCCACCCTATTTTCCACAGTCGGTCCTAAGGGCAACTCTCCAATAAGTATAATATTCAAGTGGTTCAGAATGACTGTTTTTCCCGTCCTCCTCCCCATGTTGTTTCAGTACCAAAGGTTAGGCTTTAGTTACCCTGAGGGTAGTTCATAGTCTTCAGTAAAGTTACTGAGTACAGTCTAACTGCAGGTCCGTTGAATCATGTTTTGATGCGAAAGAGGTTCAAAATGCTGCAGCTGCTTGCCAAAAATGCTCTGCACTCATGTTGTGTACCTATAATATTATGTACCCAGGACAGTATTGGAGACCTGCACCATCTGACAGAGCTGGATGTCAAGAACAATCAGCTGGAGGAGATCCCTGCCTCCATTGGACGACTGAGGAAACTGGTGGTCCTCAACGTCACCAATAACTGTCTCCCCAGCCTCCCTACCTCCATCGGAAGACTAGCAGGACTCGAGGAACTTGGGCTCCAGTAAGTGGCTACACGATGGTATACAGTAGCTAGAAAAATGGCATTATACTCTGCACAGCATATTTGATGTCTAACCCATTGTTTCTCCCTCATCAGCTCCAACCAACTAACAGAGCTTCCAGATGAGATCTGCAACCTGACGTCACTAAAGGTGAAACAAACGACATGGTGTCACATATGATCCCTTGTCTGTTGACACCCTGCGCGTGTGTGTCACAGGTGATGTATGGTGGCGAGAACAGACTGAAGGGACTGCCGGTCAGGTTCGGTCGACTGACTCAGCTACAGGAGCTGGATGTCTCCGGCTGTGAGCTGGAGACTCTGCCACAGTCTCTCTCCCGCTGTGTGTCCCTCATCAGACTCTGGCTCTCCAACAACAGGTGGAGAACTACCATTTTTACCGTTCCCTCTCCTTCAGTGTGTGTTCAGTGTGGTTTTTGCTGCTGGGATTTATGCGTGCCTGTGTGGTGTGTAAAGGTTAACTATTGGTGGACCCATAGGACTCCTAGCTGACAATGCTTACTCTTGCATCAGTTTTTTTCCTTCTCTCTCCCTCCCCCTGTCAGACTGCAGACTCTGCCAGTACACATTGGTGACCTACAGCAGCTAAAGGAGCTCCATGTCAGGAACAACAGACTCTGCTACCTCCCAGCCTCCGTGGACACACTTCACCTCTACACCTTCACTGGTGAGCTCTTTCATGGAACACTACCGTCTCTGGCTGAGGGAAAGATGTGCTTTGTTAACCTTCGGCACACATGCGCAGCGAAGCTTACATAGTACACTTGGTTTGTGCATGCGTGTCATTTTTGCAACGCCGCCCAACAAGGAAACAAAAGGGTAAAGTGCTTACCAACAGGTTCAGAGCTACACTGGCTGGATTTCCAACACCCCACAGTCTTGGATTAGAGACAAGTGTAATCTTTTGTGTTTATGTTCAGCTCAGAACAACAGATTTGTGGATGAGGTCACGGCCAGTGAGATGTGCTACGCTCCAACTGAAGGTGTGGCACCTCTCATGGAGCTGGCAGCTAGAGCCGCCCTGGACTCCAACCTAGAGTGGGACACTCCCTCCCTCCCAACTTCTCTCAGGGGTCAGATACTGCATTATATGTATTGTCAAGGTTCACAAATCAGTAGTAGCTTTGGAAGTTTCACATAAATATTCCTATCCCTTTGATCGTGTATTCTTTTGCGGATTGAAGATCATGAAAATGCGAACTGGATCTTACACATTAAGAGACTGTACTTTTGTGTTCTTGTTTTTGTTTTGTTTTTGTTCAGAGATGTTGAGTAGTCCTGGAAGGTGCTCTGTGTGTGAGGGACCGTTCTTCAACTACAACTCGTCTGTGGTGACCTTCAAGACGGTGGGAGTGTTCTACAGACTACCACTCTGTCTCTCCCTCTGCACCCCTCGCATTGAGCACTCCGGACAACCATGAGGTTTTTTTATCATTTTTTTATCGCACGTAATCATCAGGTTTTCCTCAAAAAACAAAGTTTTAACCATCTGGTCTTTATAACACATCAACTCTCCGTAATGAATCATCCTGAATTGCTTTGATGCGTTTAAACTCAGAAATTGGGGCATTATGTCTGGATAATGTTCACTCATCTGAAATTCACAATTCGCAATACACTCAACATTAATTCGTCTTTTAGCCGGGTAATTATTACCAGAATCATACACAATACACGACAGCCTGTGCTAATGTATGTATGTATAAATGCTATGAGCATAATATACTACGAGTAAATTTCCTGGGGCTAGACGGTCTGGTGGGACTGCACTGAGAGATAGTTTCTTGATCTCAGTAGCTTCACCACTAGCCACACCGGTCCCACTGTACAGTGGAGTGGCAGGAGCAGAGCCCCCACTGCGCCATAGATCATGGGTAGGATGTTGGCAGCAATGACAGTCAGCAGACACACCACAAACGTTCCCTTAGTCACCGACCGCGGCATGTTGTAGATGTTAGAATAGAGACCGGCGTCAAAGGCGTTGACCGTCTCAATCTTACCCGTGTTGCCGTTGACGACGTGGGTGACTCCGAAACACACAAAGAAGCTCAGCAAGAGCAGTGTGTACAGTGCACAGGGTACGATCTGAACTGGGCTGAACAGCGGTTGCAAGAGGTTTGCCACTCCGCCCACGAATGACGCGTTGTACTTGTGGAACCTGGCAAACTCTGTCTTGAAGGCGTCGGCCTGGTTCCGGTTAGTGTTCCTGATTGCTCGCTGCTCCGACGGAGAGTTCAGGAACAGAGAGATGGGAAACTCTTCTCCCAATTTCTGTGCCGATACAAAGTACATCGGGAGCGCCAACATCGGAATGAGTATGCCCCCCGCAATCATCACTTTGAGAAATCGACTCAGTCCCTCCTCTATGACCACCTCGTCCACTTCGTCGCCATCTTGCCTCATTGCGTAATACTCTCCCCCACCCCTCTCGGCCTGGTAGCGAACGCTGATCATCATGAGGAACATTATCTGAATTGCTACTTGGAGAGCAATCTGTATGAGGAACCCTCTCATGAACACCACTCCAAAGGTCCTGGAGCCCGAGACTGTGGTGTGATTGAGGAGGAGGCTACTTGCAGCCGAGCTGAAGGCACTGAACCTCAGAACGTACACTATCATCACGTACAGCGAGGCCACCACCGTGAAGGTTGCGAAATCCCAGGTGTCGTCGTCGTTGAAATTGTTTTCCTCGCCGTGGAAAATGAGGTAGCTCTGGGTCCGTATGATCCTGAAAATGGACAGAACTAGGAGAGGGTAGAGGACGAGGTCGTAGAAGCAACTGCGGAGGAGACTGGCGTAGACTTTGAACAGCACCACCAGCGACTGAGAGGTTCTGTTTGGGTGGTTCAGGAGAACGCTGGCAGCAATGTCTAGAATCGAGAGTACCAAAACCGTTGTCAGGAGCCACTGGATGACCCCAAACACAAAAAACTTGTCGGGCATCATGGAGAATAACAGGGCCAACCCGGCGAGCACAATTTGCATGATGAGCCATCGATACACCGACCTCCCGGGGAGGGAAACTTCCAGAACTTTCCGGATGAACCTCGCCCCGAGGCCCCAGGACCTCTGGAGGTTCCCCGAGAACCTCTGCGACGTGAGGGGAAACCCCCGCCATATCTGGTAGATGAGACCAGTTGGATTTGAGAACCGGGTACTGCCGGACTCGGTCTGAGTGTTTGTCGTACGGGGAGAGCCTGTGTGTACGTGTGGATAGGGAAAGTGTGTACTATGGTCCTTGGAAACGGCAGCTAGCTATAGTGAGGTGTGAATGGAAGGTACAAGGTGGCTTTATTAGGCTTGTGTGTGTGATACATAGCCTGCAAATCAGCATGTTTTGCCAAAAACACTTTATGCTTTACTGAACTTTTTGTTCAGAATTGCATGTATACCACTCCTTAAAAATGATGGAGAATCAGGTTATGGCTCAATCAATAAAGGTGGTGTGCTGTATTACTATCACTGTGTATACCGGCACTGGAGAGATGTTGTACTGGTGTCTGTTCTTCTCTAACACTGGGCAGGTGGTCTCCCCAAGCCGGTGCAGACGGACCAGCAGTATTAGTATTGTTGCGATTGAGGCTGCCCCTGAATCTCTGAGCCCAATAGGCAGGGGGAGAGGAGGAGCGGAGGATGCTGGGTCCCTGGCCCTGCTGATGTATCATGCTCTGTGTTGGAGCAGTCGGCACGACGTTGTAGCTAGTGGTGGCCGGTGGAACATGGGCTCCAGTGGCTCTGTAGCCTGACACCACCTCCTCATACCGTGGGGGAGCTCCCTCTATCAAGACATAATATCATTGATTCAGGTGGATTAACCATGATTCCATAGTGTGTAGTATCTATGAACTTGACACTACCAACTGTAATGCACCATTCTATGGGAGCTTTGCTATATGTACAGTTGATGGTGGTGTAACCATGGCTCACCATTTCCTCCTCTGGGGTCCATAACTCATGGCACAATATCTCACTGTGTCTTGCAGTTCCTCGCACTCAGCCACTGCCACAGTGAACTATAGAACCTCCTCCTCCACGGACACAATACTCTAGCAGCTCAACTATTACACTTGCAGCCAAAACGCAGAGCTACAGTGACGCCAGTACCTGTGCAGAAATGCTCAGAGCACAACTGAACAGCAGCATAAATGACTCAGAGCACGTAGCAGACAGCCTGTTTGATTACCCTGCACTCTGTACAGCCCCAAAATGGTCCCCATTCATCATGAAGGGAGTTGGGTGTGACGACACTATAGGTACGAACAGTGCCCATAGTGTTTCAGACACGGTCCGGTACACGTGTACAGTATTGTGTCGGGTAATGGAGAACAGTGATATCAGCTGTGTTGGAAGGTGGTGTGGTGACACCAGTGCTAAGTGGACACTACAGCCGTGAACTCCAGTACAGGTGTCGAGGAACATGCACACCTCTTTGCACAGTAAATGAAGGAACACAAAAGCAGGAAATTGCCCAACGCAACTCATACAATCATGTGAGAAAGTACACACGTAAACCGCTAAGGGGAATACAAGTAAACACAACAAAACTTCAAGACAAGGAACACAACTGTGCATGTGGCATAAAATAAGTGACCATGTGAAAAAGTATATGTGTGTGTGTGGTCAAGACTTTTTGCTACACAGTGATGAACAGCCGACAATGATGTAAAAGAGTATCCAGAACGGCAGCATAGCCAGCCCCAGAAACCCGTAGATGAGGGGCAGCAGATTTGTAAGGAACGAGAGAATAACAACCAGTCCGTACACGACGGCAGTTGCAACAACACCGAAGATATCGTGCGAGAAATCGCTCAGGAACAAGTCGAGACTCGAGCGGCTCACGGAGGTTACGGGGTAGGTGAAGGCAAATAGAACCCACAGTCCAAGGAAGGAGATGTTGAGTATCATCTGGAGTGGACTGACCAGTGGGTGGATGAGGCCAAAGATGCAGCCCGAACACTGCATGTTGGATTCGTGCAGCCGTTTGAACTTGTGCTCCACGCGCTCGTGGGAAATGTCCAGAGACAGGGACTGTGCCGAGGGGATGCGGTCGAGGAAAAAAGCAATAGGAAACTCTTCGGCCCACTTTTGGGCACTTATGAAGTACATGAAGATGCCCACTAACGGCAGGAGCTCCCCCGATATCATCATCACTAAGAGGTACGCGCTGACTCCCAGGACCTGAGGCTGTGAGGGATCACTCGTCTCAATGTGCATGCGGTATCCCAGCAGCAACAGGTACAAGATCTGGACTATGGAGCAGATGAGGACATGGACAAAGAAGAGGATGAGAAAAACACGTGCAGTCGATCGAGCCCCCGAAACTTTCTTTTTGAACTCTCTCATCAGTGTCTTTGCGATGCTCCCCAGGTGCCACAGCCTCAGCACGTGAACCACCAGCACAAACAATAAGACGATGAGTAAGTTCACTGAGAAGTTGATTGCGTCGTCTCGTCGTACCGTACCTGCGTCTGAAATGTTGGCGTAGACGGATTCGTCCCAGAGTGATACCACGACGTTGTAGCTGCGAGTATTCAGAGCGTTCATGATGCTCGCTACGACTGCTGGGTAGAGGAAAACGTCCGTGAGCAAGTTTCGTGTGATATCAGAGAACCTGTTGTACGTCCCTTTCTTGGACCCGAGGCAGCCACACCACGAGATGAACCTCTCCACTATCACGGCCAGTAGACAGGCCACGAGAGAGGCATTACGCACTATGTTCTCCCCGGAGAGTGGCGTTGAGGCAAACGAGAGGATGATGCACGCAGCGACCACCATGAGTTGAAGGCTGAGAAAGAGATAGCGCCACGGGGTGGAGAAAACCGGGAGCGCCGTTTTTATGACCTGTCTCGACCCCTCTTTCCAGGCCAGCCTCAGGGTTGGCGACAGTCGGTCTGTGAACAGCGCGAACCCGAAGCAGGAGTAGTAGCAGCAGGCCCGGGCACACGTGTCGGGAGGTGGGCGTCGACGTTGGGTGCCAGCATCGCCAATAACCATCTCTTCATCTGTGTAACATTGTATGGTGTTTTGAGGTGTGGGAGAGAGGAGGGAGAGGTTCAGTGGGGACAAGAGTAAGCGTGGATTTCTGGCACAGAGCCCAACATTGATATCATTACGGTCATTGTCCTACATGCCCTCTAATGCACTTCATATCGATGGCAAGGATTTAGGATTTCATGCCAAGGTGACAGGCTGTTTAGTCCACTTGGCAACCAAAATTGGGTTTGTTGGATTACTTATGGCACATTATTCCCTGGGATAAACCTATGCTATTGTATCGGCTGAAAGACACTACCCCATCATCAGTCTGGCTGCTTCGAGCCATATCTCTTGTTAACGAACAACCACTGAGCAAGGCAGCATGCAGTTTGCCACGTACCAACCACTGAGCAAGGCAGCATGCACAGTTTGCCAGGTACCATCAACCACTGAGCAAGGCAGCATGCACAGTTTGCCACGTACCATCAACCACTGAGCAAGGCAGCATGCACAGTTAGCCAGGTACCAATCTCATGAAATAGCCTGCATGATGCAGGATTCAGGAAGCATGTTTCTGCTGGCTGTTTTTCGGGCATTGTTTTACTGAATTTTTTATGCGAGTAACTAATCAATGACAATTAGGAAGTAGTAGCTGATTAGCTAGCTAGCCTCTAGTTGGTTATCATGGCCATTTTGCAATACTAGCTGCACTCACCCTCAGGAATACTCCTCAGCTGTCCACGTGGCGAAAAACGACTCCGGTCGAGGGCCTGGATCCGATGGACGGATCTGATGTCTCCAGGAGCAGAAGACACGGACCAGCGACCTCCCTCGTTCCTGCTCGGCCGTCCTCCTGCGAACGGTCCAGTGGCAGAGAGGCTGGCGCTCCTCTCGCGGGACTGGAGCGCCGCGCACCGCTGGATCTCCTCCTGCTGGAGCCTCTCCGCCATCTCGTAGTCGTCGGAAAGACTGGGTCGGCTCCGGCCGTTAGCTCCAGTGTTGCCGTTAGCGGGAGATTCGGTGACGGCCAGCGGTCCGCGTGTCCCGGAGCTACTCCCGTTGCCCGCCGCGTCCTTGACGAAGAAGGTGAGGGCCTCCTCGTAGGTCGGCGGAGCGGGCTCCACGATGCGGCCGCTGCGAGGTCGCACCACTCCTCCGGTCGCTCCGGAGCTCGGGGAGCCTGTGGAGCGAGACGGATTGTTTCCGTCATCAACAACGAAAAGAAGTCGCGACAGACTGCTCAACATGGCCCTCTAGCTAAAGGGGATCGTCACACGCTGTTGCAAAGTGGCCCGGGGGTAGGCTCGCCGTCACTTTTTGCTCCGAGAATATTAGCGCAACGTGTAACCCTACACGGTCTAATGGAGCAGTACATACCTCCTCCGTTATCATCAACTGTCTCTTTTCCTTCATGTTGCTCTTCTGGTTCGGAGACACGGGGCTCCTCCTCTTCCTGGTCGCCCTCTTGCTCCTCCTGCGGGCTCGACTGTTGCTCACTCTCGCTCTCCTGGCTCGACATCGTCTGGGTATTGCTTTCCGTGCGTACCACGCCCCCCTTTTGAGCTATATCTCACGCATGCGCACAAACGCTAAACGTGTACAAAACGCACTATTATAATACCAAAAGAGAAGTCAGATGGATAGAGTTGATAGGACAGTGCTTTGGTCAGGAGAAATGGAGTCTTTGAATGAATGTCGTCGGTCGGTGACAGGACTTGTTAAAACTGCGTGGAATGTCATAATTACCATGGGTAAAAGTAAGAATCAATGGAGTATATATACTTACATTCAGACTGAAGATATTCAGCCATCAGCTTGGGCACTGTGTTACTGCCTTCAGCTATTGCCTTCAAGACTGCACAAAAACATAATCCCAGACAAACATACAACGAACCCAGAGTTAGTAACACAGCATTGTACTATACTATACCTTTAGTAAGCAGTGTTAGAGTGTCTGTTCGCCATTTCAGTCCCCCGGGAATCTTGTACGGAATGACTGTCTGCAGATACTGTTAGTGGAACACCATACACATAGGCGGTTGAATATATCAACATCTCTGCCACACAGAGGACTAACTGGTGATGCTGAAGGTTCATCATCTCTTTTCTTGTGGCTCCAGGTCCACTGTGGCCCCGATCCTCCGTTCACGTCCTGAGAGAGCCGCAGCTGCTGTACTCGCAGCAAGGCCGACACAAACCTGACCACCAGAGGGAGATCAATAGGCTGAACTGAGACCACAACTCACATTTACACTCTACTGGACCCAGTGATGGTGGTGTGGTGGACATTGGGGTAGTAGTGCAGATGTAGGTGTTTTACCGGGGGAAACTCTTATTAGTGCTGTGTGTGGCTGTGCTTTTGTTTTCTGAAACTGTCTCGACTGCAAGTGTGTGTATATACTACACTACACCTAATGAATTTGTTCCTAGAGTCAGCAAAGTGAGAGAGAGTGTGTGATTTGTGTCCTGACGTTAGTGTTTGGCATACAGTTCATTATTATTTCGGGCAGGAGAGGGGACAACTAAGCCTTTAGACGGTGAAAAAATGTGTAGATCAACTCTTGCCCCTCTTATGTCACTTGCCTTCTAAAAAGTCTCCTATAAAAATCTGTATGTACATATATACCTATTCTTTGCCTCCATCTCTCCTGCGAGAATGTCCCTGGCCTGGAGACCGGTCAGGAGCTCGGCTGAGAGTCTGGAGAACTTTGACGTCATCTCGTCACACATTCTCTTCAACTCCACCTCACTCAACACTGCCAGGCCTGCACAGAAAGACGGGTAGAATCCTCTTTTTGAGACCTCAAATTGAATGCCTAAACTAGATGTCTTGTCATAGGGAGCTAAAATAGACTATTCTATTACCCTAATACACAAGATAACAATGTAATTTATCCAGGAAATCCTAATTCTGTTGTCCTTCTAATTTAGCTTGACTAGCAGAAAAGCTGGCTCTGTCAGTTAATTACTGACTACAGCACACAAAGACAGAATTAAGGATTAGACAGTGTTTGAGAACTTTAAAATACTTTGCACAAAAAAGCCAATGTGTAAAACTGGGTGTTCATTGAAGACCTGAGGCAGCTCTGTCGTGGTCAAAGTCGACATCGACGAGGCTCTCCTTGCGAGGTCGGAAGAGGTTGGGGACCACATCAGGTGACACCGACTTCCTCCTCCTGTCTGGAGGAGTCCAGTCAAACTTCTCCTCGTCCCCCAGTGGTAGGGCAACAGAGCCCACCCCCGCTGCCCCCTCTGACTGCAGGGGGACAAACGGGATAAGACTATCTTAACACCCCCTAATTGTATCTCACACTCACTGCCCCAAGTGACACACAGGGTAAGACTTTGACACTGTTCTAAGTTCACCACTCCGCAAACCCTAAGAGATTTAGTGTTTACTAAAGGCCCAACATTACACAGTGCAGATTTGTTGTGTGTGACAAAGGTCTCAACTTGGGCAAGGGCCCTCGGCTCACTAAATCACATACTTCCCGTGTCTCCACATCTAACCTACACATAGAAGTATTGTCTACTGGCATGCAACATGTTGTATAGACCATCACACCCATACATTGCAGCTGTATGAGAATTTGTCATGTATCTCAGCCTCTACCTCTCCCTTCATAACGTTGGGTGATCCAGTCAATGCACAGACGGAATAACTCCTACACTCTTCTGTTTAGACATGCAGTGTGGGTGTGCCAACAACACAGCCACTTTGTTCACCATTCTTATCTAGAGTGTATATATATCAGCCACATATGGGTGGAGCTAAAATGTCACCAGACATTCTTAGACATGCTCCCCATCTGCAATTTTTTGACAAGCTGTGTGTTTGAACAATGTACATGCAATTCAGACAACTGACCACACTTTGCTATGGTCACATAATTATACAGTAAAACCCTCCAATTTGGACGGACAGAAGAGTGTAAACAATAGCAAGGTTTTCTTATTATATCCAAGAACTGTTCTTGGGGAAAGAAAAGTTGTCCATAATATTGGAGAGGTGTCATAATTTAGGTTGTGTCAAGAGAAGGGTTACACTGTATCTATAATAATTATATCATCATGTATTTGTACCTCGTTGACGGAGGGGCCTCCCCCGAGGAGGGAGGTGAGTCTGTGCTGGCAGGAGGAGGGAGGAGGGTGATGGAGAGACGTCTGAGACCACCTCCATAGCAACTTGGCAAACCTAACAACAAGCAGGGAGTTGACAAACAGTCTTTCTCAGGCAAGACAACAACAGCGGTACATTCTACGACGGTTTGCACAAAGTACACAAACTGTGTACATACCTCCAGCCCTACTAAGAATGATAACAGCCAAAAAAGCAAAGTTGTTCCTAAACAAAGTAGAGCCCCCCTCCACTAGCCAAAGTAATTTGATTCAGACACTGAATGTCACAACTGAATCAAGTACACAGTACACCTAGAACACACTCAATGAAAAATAGAGAGAATCATCGACTCGACAATAGACAGACATGTACAAAGATTGGACGAGTACACACTTCTTACTTGTCGTCTCTCAGGCACTGCCAGTCACTGGCACAATCTGCAGCCACCAGCCGTGACCCCTTCTCTCCCTCTCTTCCTTCTCTTTTCCTAACTCTGTAACAGTCGCTAGTGGCCCCCTGTCCTCCAGTGAAACAGTGTCTGAAGACTGCCACACATGAACGACAGAGAGAATCAGTGGTAACTGCAGAGTTAGAGTCACGCGGCTGATTCCGATATGGTTCATTGCTTCTTGTTCTATCAGCAGTGTCTAATGAGAGTCCACCATCTCCAGCAGGGGTAGAGGTAGTACACGAGGAGAGAGAGGTAGCAGCTAGTTCACCTCTGAGCGAAAAGGCCTGCCAGCCCGGACTGACATCAGGTACAACATCATTATGGCTGGTAATTGCAGGGTTGTCCTCACTGCTCTCTGCAATAGTTTGCATCCAGCTCCCGGGAGTGTCCGCCACCGCGTGGTGACTGGAGGATGAATTGACCGGAGAAAATGTGGCCCAGTCATTGGAGGGTAGGGCCCTATTCATCGTCGGTCCTTCGTCTTCCCCCCAGTGGGTATCATTTAGTGCTTCCGACAAGAACAGCTGAGGCCTCGCTCCGCCCGGTGTTCCACAGACGCCCACCGAGTCGGTTGGCATGGCTCCTGCAGTGTCCCCCGTCTCAGAGATGGCGTATGAATCCCTGTGAGAAACTCCGTCTAGCTGCAGGCCGTCCTCTCGACATGCGGACCAGTCATCGAATGCAAGATCCCTGGCTTTAGCTGCTTCCTTCCCGCACCCACCAACCGAGTCTTCCATTGCGCCACTACCGAGCTTGGAAGATGCACATTGTTGGTCAGCAGCTTGTTTTGCGTGTGGGCGTGGCTAACAATGCCCGTGTCCGATGATTCGCATTCCGGACCGGACGCACTACGGAACAGAACGGAGACGAATGTGCACGCAGGAAAAATGGCGAGAGGAACGAGCG